TTAACTAACAGCTTTTTTTAATCTCTGTATTTTAGCGTTTGTTAATGCTGAAAATCAGTTATACTGGGATCCTGGTCAAAAAAAATATTAAAAACGCAAAACACACCTGATGCGAATTCTTTGCTCTTCATTTTCTATAAGCAGAGTTAACAGACCCTGTTGTATTTTCTTGTCATTTATTAAAAGAAGGTACACTGCCATCTTGTGCCGAATAAACTGACTTGAACGCACCTGATGTCGTAATTACGACTTGTCAACTCGTAAGTACGAACGTCCCAGGAGGACTTGAACACAGCATTAGCTCCAATCCCAATTAAACACACCTGCACCATCTAATCAAGGTCTTAAGCATACTAGAAACTTCCAGGCAGGTGTATTGAAGCAAGTTGGAGCTAAACTCTGCAGGATAGTGGCCCTCCAGGACCGTGTTTGGACACCCCTGGACTAAAGTCTAGGCCAGGGGTGTCCTGCAAAGTTTAACTCCCACCCCAATTAAACACGCCTGAACCAGCTAATCAAGGTCTTGCTAGGCATACTAGAAAAGGCATACTAGAAACTTCCAGTCAGGTGTGTTGGAGCTAAATTCTGTCTGTTGTACATAGCCCTTCAGGACTGAGTTTGGACTTCCCTGGACCCTTTAGGTTACTTTTCATTTTGATACAAAGGTTCACAATCTTCATCTAAACATGAACTAAAAATACTGTATGATCACTTGAAATCTTTTAGTTGAGGAATTATAGACGTTTCTTGAATTTTAGAACAAGAACAATAGGCCAGGGAGATTTATTTACAGGAATACATCACATTACATGCTCATATGGCACATACCAAAGACACTATTTAATATGGAGCTAATTAAAGACAGCAAGGAGAGAGAGCAGACTGGTGTTTGTAAGAGACAGAAAATATAATGTAGTTGGTGCAGACAGTGGAGACCATAGAGGGACTCAGTGATTGACAGAGACAGGCAGCACCAACAGCTGAATCTAAGAATGGAGAAAGCAGCAGAGAGGAATGAAGATACAGTACAAAGGTTAGAGCTAAATATGGCTGAATTGAAAAGCACCCCAGTAACTGTACACAGCATTTAGTGACGTTTATACAGCAGTGAATCACTGACATTTTACGAGCAGTGCTTTCTGCTCATCCACTGAAAAGAGAACCAAAATGTGTCATTATCTAGAGGTTTAAGAGTTAATGGAATTCATATTAGCTGTTGTGAACATTTATGCACTTATCAGTTTTGTCCAGTTTTTTTAACAGTGATCATTTGGTCCATCATCGACAATACAGTTACTGTTTTCACACAGAACTCTCTAATTGCAACATGACACCCGCCAACACCAACATGCAGAAGGCGACAACATTTCTTTTTCTGTTCTGAGGGGGTGGAGAGCATGTGGGCCATGTGCAAGGTCCAAGAGACCCTCTGTTAGAGCAGTTGTGCTGCTAGAGAAATGAAAGAGACCCACGGATACAAAGAACATGGAAATCAGGAATGAACAGGATTTTCTTTATCTTGGATGCAAGGAATAAACGGAAGTTTTTGGCTGCGAGAACATAAAGGGGGAGTGCAGATCCCGGAAAGATACAGATCAGAGGAGAGCTAGGCCGTGAAAATCTCTTGAAGGACACAGAGTGTAAGAAAAGGAAACTACTAAAGTAGCACATGCCATTTTTTATACCTGGATTAAATGCAATAATATATGTGACTGTAATTACAGAAGCATATCTACAACATACATTGCCAGAAAAGTGATTCCAGTGAATGAGAACACCCTTTTTCAAACAGTTAACTGAAAAACACACTTGCATGGGTCATTGGACAAGCTTACATAAATTGTGATTTTTTTTTATCATTTACATCAGGAGAATTTTACAACACCAACACACTTGCAGCAGTCCCTGAGGAGGTTTTGTTGGATTCTGAAAGAGACTGGACTTTAACAACAACCAATCCATATTATCTGTAATTTGCTGGTATAGTTAAGGAAACGATACAAATGTTTCTAAACTCTATCCTTGTGGTCATTACTGACCTGGCAGCTGGACTTCTTGGCAACGCATCATTTCGACGTCATTTTCATTTGTTGCTGTCATCATTGCTTTTGTTTGGGCCGCTCCTGAGCCTATGGGTTTCCCATTATAGTGTCTTTGCAAAGAGGACTCACTTTCTCTACAGGTAAGACACAAAAGAATCATATCTGTGCAATTGAATATTCAATTAAGTAATACCACACCAGTGCTGCTGTTTTGCAGGTAATCACAACAGCAGTGAGTGTGACAGTGCTTTATACAACAGTCCAATAAGTTAATACTGAATAATTTACATTTTAGACACACAAAAAAAAATCGAACAAAATCAAAGCAGAATCAAATCTTCACATCTCACAATAAAGACTTAGTCAGGATAACACCTTATTTAATTTTTGACAAAAATGAAAACAAGGCTGTGAGGGATAGGCGTACAGTGCATTCAGTGGATTGTACTATTGTTTAACAACATATCAGTTGTTCAGCTGACGAAACGTCTTTCCAGAATAAACTTTTAGTAGACCAACACTTTTTGAAAATGAGTTGTAAAGAGTAAAGATCTAAGGCCTTTGTATACAGTGCATGTCATTGTAAACACTATAAGTCTATCCCTCAGTTTTATTTTCCTACGCATTAAATTCAAAATACAGTCTTAACCTGATTAAGGTCTATAGCGTTCCTGAATAAATCAGAGTTTTTGAAATAATCAGTTGAGTGAATGATACAATGACTCACTCGTGAAGATTGTGGCTGAAAATAGGCAAAAAAAAACAGTATTTAAAAAGAGTATTATGTCTGAATTTACAGGCTGCGTGTGAGTAATTTTGAGTAATTACTTATTTACCATTAAAAAGTATATTCTATATAGTATGATAAATATAAATGATTGACGCCGGTAGTATGAATGTAATCCAGACGTACAATCGTCATGTTTTCATTGTCATGTGATTTACAAATCATCTGCCTTGACCTAATGGAATAATAAAGTGTCCATTGGTTGTGCACTTCAGAATCTCACCAGACGCAGTAGGTCAACCGAATACTTTTCGCTTACTGTTTATTATGAATACTGTAAAATTGGAAATACTACTCTTTTCACATACTGGTTTTCGCCTCTATATAGTAAGGAAAATATGCATATTTGGATGCAGCCACCGTATTCTTACAATTGAGTGCAAAAAATATATAGGATACACTGTTCTCTATATTAATACAGTAATGTATCATTCACCATTCATTTTTAGGGTGTTCCTGCGCTCAGGTTGGGGTTGGACCTGCATCTTTGTTGGCTCTTTTGTCTTCGTCCTGTCTTTCTCAGTTCGTCGCTCTCTCACACTTTCCCTGCGACACCTTTCTCGGCTAGCTGTGGCAGGTGGACTCTGGCTGGGCTTCCGCAAACTGCTTTGTCTGTTGGAAAATGCCACCGGGAGCTGCTATGAGCCCCTCAGTTCCACTCTTGAGTTGGCTTCAGGGACCAATGGAGATCAACCTTTACTGCTTTTACGAGAAGGTGAAACAAAGGAGGCCTGTGTCCGCTCTGGCATGTTGTGGCGTGGCTATGAAGTATCTGAAGATGCCCTCCTACTGTGTTTGTGCTGCCTGCTTCTAGCTGAGGAGACTGCAGTGTTTGGGCCCTACCTGAGCCTGGGTGGACCCTCTGAAGCCCCGCTGCGCATCCTCTTCCTGTTCTGCGTCCTGCTGTTGAGTCTCTGGGTGTTCCTGCTGCTCTGCCTGCTGGCTTACTTCCCACAGTTTCCTACTCAGCTTTTGGGAGGTGCCCTGGGTTGTTTGAGCTGGAGAGCATTGTATCAGGGCTGGTACCGACATGGACCTAGTTGGTACTGCCCTGGGAGGCCAGGGGTGGGACTTTTGTCTACACAGAGCAAACAGGAAGAGACATCTGAGACACTGTGTGAAAGTAATGCTAAAGAGATCAACTAGAGAAGGCTTGAGCAATTTGCTTGGTACAATTTGGACTAACTATACATAGAGGTGCTGCAGTATACCAGTGAAAACCGCAGAATATCCTGCCAAATCGCTACCAATACAAGATGAATGTATATTTGATCAATTCTTTATCAAAATTGCTGGTCTTTATATATTTTATTAATGCGTGCTTACTAAATCCTCTCTCAAATTGAATAACATGGTCAAGAAGGTACTTCACCTAAAAATTTCCTTCAAAAATTTCCTTCAAACCTGCATGACAGATTTTCACTGTTGTTTGGATTTTACTGACTTTCTAAATATCTTCTTTTGTGTTCCATAGAGGAAAGGATGCTATACAGGTTTGGAATAACATGTGGTTGAGTAAGCGGTGACAGAATTTCCATTTTAGGGTGAACTGCATGTTAAATGATTTAAAAATTAATCAGGTTCGAGTTTAAATATATTTGGCAATAGTTTGAACACTAATACAGAACTGGTTTCACACATAAAACCATGATTACAGAATAAATGAAGACACAAATGAGACATATTGATTTATTAAATTCTTCCTTGACAATCTCAATTTGTTTTTTATTACAAAAATATTCACAGAATTTCTGGAAAGCTCAGCCTTAAATAAGAAATTTGCGATTCATTTATGCCCAAATGCATATGTAATTTAAAGACAGAGAAAATTTATTCTGGGTCAGTGTGGTATACATTTTTATGCAGTTGTCTCATTTTGCAAAAATCTCTAAACATGAGCCATCTCTTGAACAAAGCTTTCACAAATGAAAAACCATCAGTGGCCTCACAACAGACAAAAAAGGGGTGTATATAAGAGATGCTTATTTGGACCACACAAGACCACAAAAAAGCATGCTTCAGATTTCTAATGAAAAAGTTTAATAAGGCAAGAGTAGGAATAGCTCCTGGTTAAAAATGACAATAGTACTGAAAAAGATTCTTTCCATCCATCTTTTTTTTTTTTTAAACTGTACAACAAAACCACAACTACCTAACTTTGAAAAAAGAAAAAAGGTGACACATGAAGAAAACGTCTTGCCTGCTCGAATGAAGCTCCAAATAAAAGGCTGAAAAGGAGAAAAACAATCTCTGAAAAACTCGCTCAGAGCAATATAAAAAGGCATGTTCCTTCACAAAGTACAATAATCCCGAACGGTGGTTGGTTCAGACAGTCACGAACCGTTCATCATAGGAATTTCAGATGTGACACTGTCCAATGGCTGCCAGAGGCAATCCATGAGCGAATCGTAGAGCTCCTCACTGCGCTCCATGAATTGCTTATTTAATGCCTCCACATCCACCTGTGGGTTTGGGTCTGAGGGAGAAGAAAGATAGTGAGTAATTAATAATGTGTGATCTTGCTCTAATCAACAATTTGGTCAATTAAACAGTCAAATGAAATGTTACGAAATATTACCTTCAGCAGGGTCCTCCTCAGCATTCTCTGTGCCATCATGTGACTGCTGAAGCGATACAAAAAAACGGTCAATTGCAGAACAGAAATGGATTGAATTTATATTTAAAAAAACATTAATCTTCATCAATCACTATTAAAAATACCTCTGTGGATCCCTGCATGTCAAAGGGCATGGGGGGCATCCCCATGGGTGGGGGTGGTCCCATCATCCCGTGTGGAACTGGAGGAGGGGTAGCATATGGGTTGTAGCCGTAGTTATAACCGCTGTACTGATCATAACCCCACTGTGGATAGTAATTGTTGTAAGGCTGTTGATAGTACTGCTGTTGATAGTTGGTGTTGTAGCTGTTATTCTGGTTGTGGTAACTGCTTGGTTTATTGCTAAAATGAAAAAAAGAAAGAATATGGTGAGATTTCACGTGGATTTGTGAAGTTAAAGTTTAAATATCAGGATTAAGTCTCACTGACCACATAAAACTTAAATAACAATGACAAAAAATTCTAATGAAATATACCCTTTGTTGACAGCAATGCTTATCCTGATGGGTTTTCCTCCCAGGCCTGATGCATTCTGAAACTCCTCGAGGGCTTTCTTCTGTTCATTCTCGTCGCTAAACTTCACGAAGCCATAACCCCTGTGCATGTGAAAAAAATAGATCTTCAGCACCCGCTCCCTCACGCTTCATGTGCCTCATCATGCAGTATATCCATATTTCAATATGTATTCAGAAAGTAATAATTAATTTGATGGTAGAACTGAAACTTCTCTTTTACTTTTAACATGAAGTAGCATCACTTCAATTGTGAGTTGCTCTCGCTTACCCTATATGGGGAAAACAATAGTTTTAGCAGATTTGTCAAATCACATCCATGTATTGTCTGGCCCTTTTTAGGAGAGGGAGGGTAAAGAGTATCGACTGAAAATAAGCTTTTAAAAAATACAAAATAAAAGGTAAAGGAGACCTCATCTAGTTCAACGACCTCATCTTTGGTCAACGTCAGTAGGTCAAACTGTCAGAGAAAGCCAAGATTGGTTATGCAGTACAGAGTTGGCGGCTGAAACATTTCATACCTGGAGTTCCCATAGGGATCAGTGACAACTTTGGCTCCTTTGCATGAAGGAAATTTTTTCAGAAAGAACTGATGAAGCTGGTAGTCATCCACTTCTGATGTGAGATCTCCAACAAAGACCGAAAATTCTGGGCTGAGGAAGAAAGTGAACGTGATGAAGTGACGTAAAGTGAAAGAAGCCTCCACAGTTTGTAAAATTTAATATTTAACAACAAAAATGCAGCTACTTTCTTTTTTTTTTGTTCCTCAACAAGAGATCAGCAACTAAAAAAAATTTTTTTTCTGTACATGGTGTGCTTACCCAGGCTCTGGCCTTTTCCCATATGTTGCATAGTTTAGCTTGAATTTCCTGGGCTGAAATGCAAACAAAATACAACCATTGAGCAAATCAAATGACACTTTGCCTGTAGTATGGAGACAATTCGCTGACAAATAGAGTTATATTATTTGAGTAAGGAAGCTATTATTTCCACATACCTCCACCAATCAGTACTGGCTTTATCCCATTCGTCAGCTAGTTCCTAACAGAGTTTATTCACCAGCTTCAAACAAAGTCATTTTAAAAACAGCCTCAACCACCTTCCTTAGGGAAGAAATTGAGCTCTGTAACTCGCCCATCACTAGTAATATATGGAGTAATAATTCAAATGTCTCATATCAGGTGGGGGCCGTGCTGGTTATGCCTTCCTATAATAATCTACATATATGAATGCATTGAAATCAAATATAGATACCAAAACTACACAATCTAATGAGTGAAAGTTTGGCATCTTACCGGATTCGATCCTGGAACCAGCTTCCCATTAAGCCTCTGCACACAACGGTCAACACCGGCCTCATCTGCTAGCTCTACAAAACAGTATCCAGCCGAGCCTCTGAGGAAACACACAAGACAATATTCAATGATTTCTGTCAACAAACATACACAAAAGACAAAATCTGGCTCATCTCAAAGGCAAATAAGCCAAGTAATATGATAATATACATATTTTCAGTGAGTCTGGATATTATTAACAAAGAAATAAGCTGTAGACCGAAAAAGTTGCCTAGATACTAGTTTGACATGTTTTTACATAGGAACTTTTTTTAAGTCTTTGTTTAGGAGTTATAACTAAGCCATGAACCAAACCAACCAGCTATGAGATGAATACATGGCGAACTTTGATTTGAAGCAAAAAATTATATTTGAAAATCAGGGAAAAAGACAAAATGGCTTCGATGAGGGGAAAATCTACAATGCCATGAAGCATTGCGAAAGACAATGAAATTAAAACCTATGGAGAAATATAAAAGTATTGATTTAAAGATGTTGATTATATAGAGAAACAATATACTTTGTTTAGTTAAAAAAAAAAAACTCAGTGCTTTATGGGAGTGGATAGGCACTAAGGGATTTTTTTTGGAATGGTTTGCTTGTTGCAATTCTGATTAGTGAAGAATTCTTTGCAGAATTAAGGGCAATGTAGTTTTTAACTGGAATTCTGTTAAAAACAATTATAAAAAAAAAAAATTTAAATAATGGGGGCTGATGGCTTCAACAAAAGCATGTACCATCAATTAATAACCTCATGGCAGGTCTGTCTTTAAAGGTTTATAGGTTATCATTAAAAACCTATTTCCTGCTTGATGGGCTTTTTACTTCAGGAAACCAACTGTTGCACTTTATTTAGAGACGTAATCTTACCCGGTAACTCGATGTGTAATTATTTTGACACCGTAGGCAGTCTCTCCCATAGTGCTGAAAGCTTGCTTAATGAAGTTTTCATCCATGTATGGGTCTAACTGTAAAACAAATAATGCGATTAATGGCCTGTCAGCATATTTTAAACACACACCAACCATGTGAATGATTTTTTTAACCGTGTTAATGATTTACATAGGGAAGCAGAGAAGTTCTGTCGGTGACGTAGATAAATTGACTTAACGTACAGTTTTGTGAATTACAACTTGTTGTATAATTACTGAATCAACTCGAAATCATAACCCGGACATGTAGTTTGTTTCATTATTTACACTACGAGTCTACGACATAAAAATATGCAAATATGAGAGGCCTGCTGAGAAAATACAAACCACGGATTAATTACCGCCATATTTACAAATGTGCTAAAGCATTACTTTAATTCGGTGTAAATTCAACATTTTTTCTCCAGTTTAGTGAGCGTTTGAGTGGCCTGTTGGCCATGCTTGCGTAACATCGAGCTAAACCCACATGCTGCTGCTTTCTACAAACTCGAAGAAAAGTAAACAAAAACACAATACTTACATCACCCATCCATAAACTTGTCATTCTGTTAAACATCTTGACGGCTGAAACTGTTGCACCTCAGAGGTTTGCAAAATTAAGCGACAATTGGCTGCAGAGTTTGCGTAGTGGTTCGTGAAGCTAGCAGAACGTTACGTTTACTGAACACACACACACACTTCCGCTTCCGGCAGCGCAGAGATCAGATCCAGTGAATGCGAGAGTTCACTCCTCTGCCAGTCTGTCTGTTAGGTTTACTCGGGGTTCAGCACACCGCATTTCTGTAAAGAGTCCATGCATGGGTACATTTTCAACAGTTTTAGTTTTTGTAATAAAATTAAGTAAATAACACTCGATGCTTCGCATATGTTATTCTGAGTTTGACTTGAAGGGGGCAGTAGTGAGTGTTGAAAACTCCGGCCAGCTGTCCCTACTTGAGCCGTCCAGCAGAGGAAGAGACCTGAGAAAATGGTTAATACTAAAAGAAGTGTAAGTGGTAGAAATAGAAAAGAAGAGGTTATTATAACTAGGATGAGACTTGGACACTCGGGATTGAACGCTTCACTGTTCATAACTGGAATACATGAGACTGGTCTATGTGGGAATTGTGGGGAGAAAGAAACAGTGGAGCATGCAATATATAATTGTACAAGTTATGATGAAGAAAGAAAGGAATTAATATATTTAAACAAAAAAGGTAAGGTAAATAAGGATTTGGAATACTTATTAGGATATGAGTTTAACAGAGATAGAGAAGGATACAGGATATTAATAAAATACATATATACTACTGGGTTAAGTGAAACGATTTAAATATAGACTGCGGATGCTCTATTATATTCTGGATCTTTAGGAGACCACGGATTTAGTCTGGAGGAGCTGAACACGCAGCGCCAGGTGGAGCCTGGGGAGAAGGAATGGGATGGAGCATCGAATAATTATTTAAGTAGGAATATTTGTGTGCAAGAACAGGAAAAGCAAAAACAAGGAATAAATTGATAAATAAACCATGACTGCATAACAGCAAAAGTAGGTGGCGATATGCACACAGGATGTAACACGCCAAAAAACGGAAGAAGAAGAAGAGACCTGCGACGCAAGACATGTGATGACTTTGGTATGATATTGATGGAAGGAAGCTGTAGCCGAAATGAACACGTTACGAACAAAATTTCTGCGCTTTTCGGGGACACAGAGTTTGTGTCGGTATGTGAAACCAAACAATTCTTTAATAAACGTGTGGTAAATTAGTTTGTTGAACGTCTTTTTGATTGTGAATTTAACCACCAGCGTTAGCGATAACCTGACCTTTGCCATGAACCCAATGAAATATTGGTATTAATCTAATCAGAATATATTACAAAAACCACAGCTAAACAAAGATTACACAAAAATACAGTGAAAAATATTACAAGTGTAATGATGGTATAGTTACAGTACAGTATGCAGTAATGAAATGTAGTGCAATAAATGCTGAGTCTCCTTCAGTTTGGCTTTATTCATATTAAGTTACTTTTAAGTTTACATTAGTCGTGCAAGTCAGAACAATGTACAAATTCACCTGTATATCACTTTTCAACTGAGTTTTGAGGAAGACTTTCAGTCTTCAGGACTCGTGTACAGTTCATGCATGCATGTGTAAATATTTTACACTATATTCTAATTCACTTTCAGGAGTAATGGCTCTCACTCTACCATATTCAGCTGCAGTCAGCTCCGCTTTATCAGTTCCTTGGTTCTGTCAAGGACAGGAGCTGAGCAGAAACCTGTCCTGCAAGCAACCCTGAACACCAAAGCAGAGGGAGATTGTGTTTTCCAGCAGCCAGTCTGGCACTATCAACAAGTCCGCACAGTCAAACGTGGGACAGAATATCAGCCGAAGAACATCAAACGAAAGAGGACCCATGGGTGGATCAAAAGAATTAGCAGTCCAGGTGGGATCGAAGTTATCCTGCGCCGAATGCTCAAAGGACGAAAGTCCCTCACGCATTGAGACTCTGACCGGACAGTTGCTTTGATAGACCTTTGAAGTGAATCTCAGTTGAATGTCAGCTGTGCAGTAGAGCTTTTGAGTTTCTATTGAAAATAGTTGTCAAATTAAAGCGATTAATGCACAATGGCGCCAATAGACTTAATTGGATGTTGTTGTTTTTTTATTCAGATGGATCTTATCCTCCTTGATACTTCCAGTTGAGCATATTCATGTCAAAGTTTTTGCTGTATGTAGTGTTACACTCAGATCAGAGCATTTACTGTTTGATTTTTGAATAACATGAGCATACATATAAGTAATCAGAATGGGAAAAGAGGTATAGGTGAGAAGATAAAAAATAATATACACATAAAAACTACATTTGTCATGATCAGATTCTGTTCCCATTATTCTGACTAGTTTCAAAAATGTTATTATAATGTTAATAAAAAACCTGCATTTGTCATGGTGTATTATTATAGTTCATTTTTATAAGCAATTGTATATGCATTTAATTTGTATTATGATAATAGTATAAAAGTAAAAAAAAAAAAGGGCTTTGAAGTAACGGTGTATATTGTGTCTGATATACCTTTTTTTTTTCTTTTCACAGTAATTCCATTTTATTGCATTGTGGGTTCACACATTATAAGATCAAAATTAGCAAGGACAATGCATTGTTTTTAGATTGTCATATTTACTGTTTCAAATAAGAAAAATAATAATGCATAGAAAAATATAAAATCTATACATTTTACAGTGCTCATTCAAACGTCCTTTCTTGCTTGCCCATGCCTAAACTGATTTTATCATGCAGGTGACTTAGCATGCCGCCTTTAGTGAGTAAACTATATGGAGGTCTCCGATTAATATATTGTATTAAAATGATTTTTGACATGCAGTTCCACTCACTACATGGTTGCTTTATCACATTTAAGCAAATGTTAAGCATTACAATCAGTGCTATATATTAACTGAGTAGTATTACCATTTCATTCACTGTTTTTTTGAAGGATTAGAACCAAAGTCTGAGCTTTCACTCTTTTCAACCTCAGATGGAAGCTCTTCTGATGAAGGGTTTTGGGCAATATTTGTGTGTTGTGCATTAGTGGCCCTTGAGGCATCTTCTGGTTTCACTTGTTGTTCAGAACCAGCACCAGTACATGGATTTTCCTTCCCAAAGTTGAAGAGTTTGCCTGGATTGAAGGACTTGCTGGGAGACTGTGATTTCTCGTGGCTCCCATGTGTAGCTGCTTGTGCGACTGCTGCAGCGGCTTCCTTTTTTAACTCTTGGGATTTGAGGAACTTCAGAAAACCTGGAAGTTTGGCCTCACCGCTTGTGGGAGAAGTGGTAGAGGTGAATTTACCCTGAAGTGGGATTATCTGTTTAAGTTTCATTACATTATTGTTGCCTAAAAGGGAGCTGGGTCTCTTGAGTTTATCTCCGGAGCTGAACTTGGCCGCTGGGCTTTTTTCATGGCGATGTTCTTCACCTCCATTCAGATCGGACTTGTCTTGATCTTGTCGTGCCAATTCCTCTGCCATTTTTTGATGCTCCTCTTCTTCTTCAGACTTCCTCCTTTGCTGCTGCTGGTGCTGCTGTGCGAGGCGTTCATGTTTCTGATGCAGAAACAGACAATGACACACCCATTTAACTCAACAAACCAAGATTTTTTTTTCTTCTCAACGTGATGATATACACATTAAAATGACATTTAGACATTGCAATGGACATTGTTAGTCTACACTCATGTGCTGTGCTACCTTGAGAGCCTCTCTCCGCTGGTATTCAAGTTTGGCCATCTCATCTGCCACCCAGTTTGGAATATCAGGAATTGCAACATGAATTATATATTTGAGCAGAATGGCGAAGTGCTGAAAACCATATGAGAAGGGTTACATTCCATTTACTACATTTTATACATAATTTAGCCAAGATTTAGGTTTGTTATACACAATGTATATACACTACAAAATGTTTTTTAGGAAATTAATACCTTTATTCAGCAATAACTTATCAGAAGACATTTACAGTATTATAAAAGATTCTATTTCAAATCCTGTTCTTTTGAACTTTCTATTCCTGAGAAAAATATATCATCGTTTTCACAAAAATATTAAGCAGCACAACTGTTTTTAACATATATTATTAATAATAAAAAGAAATGTTTCTTGAGCACCAAATCAGCATAGTAGAATGATATTTGAAGGATCGTGTAACACTGAAGACTGGAGTAATGATGCTGAAAATTCAGCTTTGCCATCAAAGGAATAAATTATTTCTTAAAATATACTGAAATAGACAAGTTATTTTAAAATAATATTTCACAATATTACTGTTTTTTTTTTACTGTATTTTTGATCAAATACATGCAGCCTTGTTGAGCATACAAAAAATCTTTGTATTTTTTGTAAACAGTTTTTTTGCTATTCATTCTTACCTCTAGCACTACAACAGAGATAACGGCCATCTCAGGGCTCAACCAGGGGAAGAGTCGTTGCAGCTGTCCACACTGGCCAATGAGGTAACAGTTCACAATTATTGCGATCAGACCCATTGCCTCCATTGCAGTCTGTTTAAATTTTAAGAACAAACAAAAGCAAATGAACACAAACAAGAAATACAATCGGCTATGAATAATTTACTAAGCAATTACTCTGAATGGATCTCCTGACCTGCCATTGTCCAATGTTTTCAACCCTTTGCCCAAAGGGTCTCTGGAGGCCTGTGCAAAGTTTTAGCGCATCGCTTCGGATTTCTACAATGTTGTTTATGAGGGCACACATGGCTGCCAGAGGAAATGCTGAAGAGAAGAGCACAACGTAGCCAAACTGTATGAACATCTCCTGGTAATCCTGAAGAGTATCCTGCAAGTTGAAATAAAAGAAAATGATCTTGTTTTTGATACAGTTTGTAAACCAGCCACTGGGTTCAGAAAGTAGCAAATAAGTCGCATAAATAGCATTTCTAAACTTGTATGATTAATAACGGCATCAGCTGGTCAGGCCGATGATATAGATGGAGGAGCACAGACCTCATAAGTTAGCATGCAACTTTCAATCTCTGGTTGGGTCAAAACAGTGGATTCGTTCTCCTCTGGAGGATCCATCCAGGACATTTTCTTTTCCGTACTGTTGTTTTCCCCAGCAGATTTGATCTTTCTTCTCTGAGTTCCTTGAGGTTTACTCATGGAATCATCCATGTCTCTATC